ACCAGCCACTCCTCAGAAGGAAGATTGGGCAATCTACTTCCACACAGATACTGCCTCAGAAACCCAAGCAGGGGTTGCTATGAGTTGAATCAATTCTACAGTAGTGAGTTTGGTTTTGGTTTTGGTTTTGGAAGCCCTAATGAATGAGGCTAGCTCTAGATACATGTTGATGGTTCCATGTATCACTGATAAATCCCAAGATAATCCCAGAATTTATTGAAATAAATTTAGAAATATAAGGTATTCTCAATTTCTAAAATTGCAATGACCTTTTGGTGGCAAATATTATAAAGCTTATTCAGTATTTGTTTTCTATTTGAAATTTAAAGTTGTTTTGTTTCTGTTCAGTGTTGACCTCCAATATCCCCAGGAGACACACGTCATTGTGTACAAAAGAAAAACTAGTTAGAGATTCTCTAAGTATCAATGAAAATACTGAAGGAAAGAAAATAGTTGTTTGGCTTACACTGAACTTCATACCTGAACGCAAAGCCTCTTTCTGAATGATTTCATAGTCATGCCAGTCCTTTCTTCTCAAACCATTTGTCCATGTATAGAATTGCCCATCTCCTAGGCCCAGTGGAAATGTCTGCAGAAAAGAAAGTATTCAGAGCATAAAAAGAGGGGTATTTCTTTTCACATAGTAGGTAAACACAGTCAGGCACATAATAGGCAATCAAAGAATATTTGTTGAATAAGGGTCCTTCTGAGTATACTGCAAAGAAGGCTATGCTAGTGACCAAATTAATATACATTTTGAAAATGTATTTTAACTTTAACATGAGAGTATGCCTCTCCACAAAATAAACCATTTTCAGTTATGGTTTATCTAGAGATATTAACAATTTAGTGTGTCACTTCACGTGTTTAGTTATTTTCATTTTCCCAAAGTATGAATATCTGCAAATCTATTAATTTTGGTATTGATTTGAATTAATTTTATCTGTGATATGTACAGTTTCAGTCATTTTGATCAAGTATATTTGAATGGCTTGACAGTAACATTTGCAACCATTCTTTGAATGCTCACTATGTGCCAGGTACTATGTTAAATACTCAGTGTACGGAAGTTTGTTTAATCTTCACAGTCGTATTTGGTTGCAAATCCTTATTTTACTGTCCATGAAACCTGAGGCCCAGTGAACTAAAGTAACATGAGTTAAACTGCAATGCTAAAACAGGAGTTGTACCAGTTCTGTTAAGACCAAAGTCATGATTTCAACGCTATTGAATATTTTCTTCTATCTAGATTTCTGTTATTCTTCACAGTTACACTTTCAGTTGAAATTATCATCCACTCAACAATTGCAGTTACAACATATGTTTTATGCATTTCCAAAACCGAGTATGTTGTAATGCCAACTTGAAAATTATTTCTGTAAACATTGCTAAAACTATTTTTATTTCTTTTATAGTATTTCTTTCTAGTAAGAAGAAACAAATATTATTTTGAAGAAATTGATTTCATAATTTTGAAATAGTCAAGATAATGTAAAATAAATATTTTCACATTCACACTCTCCCTTTTTGTTGAATTCCACATTTTTGGAAATAAAGAATATAGAATGAAAAGGAAATTTTAAAAGTAGAAAAATCTCAATTCATTTAAAAAAAGAAAAGATTAATATTTTTAATGACATAGTTTTATTAAAGAGCCTTTCTGAAAGCAAGTTAAACTTCTTATTTTAGTTTGAAACAATGGAACCACCGTGTTTATGAAAAACCTTACCTTCAAGTACATGTGTAAAGATTATTAAAGAACTACAGTTTTGAAAAGATGAAAATCAGAAATAATATTTAAAAAAAAAAACATACTTTAAATTAGAGGAAAGATATTTCAAATTAGGTGAATATTGTTTATATAGTTAAAGGAATTGGCAGCTCATAATGGTGATGAATTCAGAAAAGAAAAGAAGAAAGAAACATACAAGGATGATGTAAGCATATATAACATATTAAGTATAATAAGGATATATTTTAAAAGTAGGGTATCAAGGAAAAAGATGGAAGAGAATTTGAAAAGAATGTAGCAAAAGTAGAAGGAAATGGAAGGAACAATTTTGGGAATGTAATAGCAATTAATAGAAAAAATGCATTTTTTTTCTAACTGATATTAATTTTATAATTACAAATGTTCCCCAAATTCCATTATCCTTTGGCAGTTTTAAATTATCAAATGAATCTGAAATACACAAGCCATCAAGCCATGTCTTCTCTTAGTCATGATGAGTACTGAAGACTACCGAAAATCTACACTGATTTAGATAACATCAATGTATAAACATTACTTTCACATTAAAGTAGATCACTTCAAAACACATTTTGACAGAAAACATGGAGCTATTCTCGTGTAAAGTCCAAATTTACAAAGCTGTCTCTGATACCGTGTACAATCCATTTTCTTTATTTGATATTTTTAAAGTAAATAATGCTTAGCAATTGACAATACGAGGCAGATTGAACATGAGTTAATCTTTGCTCCCTCCAGAAACCTGTGAGAAAGACCATAAAGGATCAGATGACTCAAGAAAGCAAATGGTTGAATAGAGATAAACTTAGAGAGTTGGAAAGGACTGAGAACTAAGTACTAGGAGGAAGCAAATTTTTCCATGTTACAGAACTTTGGGAAAACTTAAGAATGAGATGCATGCCATACTTTTGGGGGTGAAGTTAAAGGTGAAAATAAAATGATTGACTTTTTTTATAAGGGTATATAGACCATCCTGGGTTGTCTCCCACCTTCAATGATCATGATTTTGAGAGACAATCATCTATATTCCTCATCCAAGAGAAATGGAGTTTGAATGAGAGAGCTAAGTTTTGGGGCCACAGTTAAGGAACACTCATGCCTCTGTGGTTAAAGCATTGGGATGCTAACCGAAAGGTCCATAGTTTGAACCCACCAGCTCTCTGTAGGAGAAAGACAAGGGGGTCTGCTTCTGTTAAGATTTATAGCCTTGGAAAGCCAGTTGGGGTAGTTCTTTGTCCAATAGGGTCACAACAAGTTAGAATTGACTCAATGGAAGTTTGTTTGTTTTCCTTTTAATAAATGATTAAAAATAAGGATGTCATACTGTAGTGAAAACCTGGCCTCCATGTATATTCTAAACATCAATAACTCAAGCAATCTTCCTACAGCAGTGTTTTGGTTAACTAGTGCCACTCTGACAGAAATATACCACAAATGGGATGGCTTAAACAAAGAGGAGTTTATTCTCTTACAGTTTTGTAGGCTAGAAGTCCAAGTTCAAAGTGCCAGGCTTTAGGGGCTGGGTGAAAACCCCTCAACCTTGGAGTTTAGCTATGCCTCTTGCTCCCAGCCCACTGAAGCTAGAGGCATCTCTTCACTCAGGAAGCTGCTGGGTGCTGAGGCTAACAAGCCCAAGGTCAACAAATAAAATAGCACAGTCATGATGTTACCAAACCACATGGCAGGCCATTGTTTCAAGTCCCTTCAACAGTCCCAAGATTGGCAGACAACATGGTAGGCTGTGGAATAACAACTCAGCTACATACAGGATTGAAGTGCACCAAAATCTAGAGACCATTCCCAAAGCTTCTCCTTATATATGGGAAGTGGACCACATCCCTAAAGCAGCTACTCAGCTGCTCATGGCAGATTCCACCATGGAGTTGATTGCCAATCTCATCGTGGGGAATAACTACCACCAGCTGCCCAGCCACTCAAAACCAGGCCCAGCCAAGTTGACATATAACCTGAATTATCACAAATAGGCTCCCAGAAAGCTGCCACCCCATCTTAGGGCAAGAGAGTAGAGAATTCTTATTTGCCGAATTTGACTCATGTGAAAGAAATAAGGGTACTGACATATTGCATTGGTACCTACTAATGCTACAGATTATGCCCTGATTAGCCTTCCTATATCCAAAAAACTTCATATTAGTATTTCACTGTTTCACTCAGGGTTAATAATCAGCAGCCAATAATCACCAAACACTTGAGGTAGATTCTAGCGTAACATTCAGAGGCCAAAAATTTTAAAAAGGCATAACAAACTTGAAGGGAACAAAGACAAGTAAGGAAAATCAAAATTTAATTTCTTCAAAATCCTTGAAAATCAAAATTTAATTTCTTCAAAGAGCTATAAGAAAAAATTCCTCCATAAAAAAAAAAAAAAGAGAGAGAAAGGAGCTTTTAGAGAATACTAAAGAGCTCTTAAAAATGACAGCAGGCATAGAAAATTGAAAGTTGGTTTCGAAAATGAACTTCCCTGAAGAGTAGAAGGAAAAAAAAGACAAAGAAAAAATTATAGCGTATTGAAGAGAGGTATCAAAATGACCCACCACTTATTTGTCAGTTTGTTGTACTGTGGTACATTGCACGTTTCTATAATGCTGGAACACATGCCATCTGTGTTTCAAATATGAACAGGGTCACCATGGTGGACAGGTTTCAGCAGAGTTAGCAGACTAAGACAGACTGATGTTGAAGACCAATAAAATGATGCCCAAAAGAACATGATTGCTAGGCACATGTTCTAATTACACTTAAGAGAGGGCAAGGCCTCTCTTGTGGTTGAATGTTTGCTTTAGGAATGGCAAGGCCTCTCTTATGGTTAAATGCTTGGCTTCAGCTTTGTGTTCCTGGGATGGAACATTGCCCCAGCAGAATGATTGCTAACCTGTTTCCCTGGAATAATGTTTTGCCTTAAGAATAGTATACCTTAGAAACCACTCTTTAGAATTAAGTACCTTAACAATTATATTATGTTTTAGAATGATGTATCTTAGTGATTATTTGCTAATCCTGCAAGAGATGTTAACCTAATTAATTATCCAATACATTTGGACATGGGAAAATGCCTTTGAGTATGGGAAAGAGTAAAATTTTAATTTTTAATTAATAACTGATTATCATAAGGAAATATTTGATTTTACTGTAGAAGAATATTTTATTTTACTGTAGAAGAATATTTGATTGAATACTTGATTGTTTTAAAGAAATATCAAGGATAATGATGTAATTGTATGCTTATGTATAAATAAAGCAGAGTGGATGCATCAGGAGTCATTCTCACAATATACACAGAGCATCCACCTGGCACCCATTCCTTTATAAAAATAAAACCATTAATCCTTTCATGTCACTTCATTTTGTGACCTGTGTGGTTTTGCTGGACATAGCAGACTGAAAAGAAAGATGGACCATGCACTTCTGTAAAAATTGGCCACTAAAAACCTTATGAATAGGAGTTCTGGCAAGATGGCAGAATAGGCAGAAAAGCTATGCAGACCTGCTGCAACAAAGCAATGAGAAACCAACTGAAACTGATATAGAAGATGATCCTGGAACCCTGAGTTTTGAAGGGAAGGATAAAAAAGTGGGTTAAATACCAACTAGTAGAAAAACCTGAATGAAACAGTGAGTAAGGAGACAAATGGAACTGCAGATTGCTGACTGTCCTGAGGCACAGACCTTTTGAATATTCCCCAATAGCAGCCTAAGAATTAGCTCTGCTCACCAAGGCTGCATGGGCAAAGACTGCACTGGTGCCTGACGACCAGAAGGCATAAAAGTGAGGAAGGGGGCAGGTAGACCTGTGGATGGCTGGTGGCTGTCCTGAGGGT